GGGCACATCATAACCATATATGGGCACATCATGACCATATATAGGCACATCATGACTATATAATGGGCACATCATGACCATATATGGGCACATCATGACCATATATAGGCACATCATGACTATATAATGGGCACATCATGACTATATATGGGCACATCATGACTATTTATGAGCACATCATAACTATATATGGGTACATCATGAATATATATGGGCACATCATGAGTATATATGGGCACATCATGACTATATATGGGCACATCATGACCATATATAGGCACATCATGATTATATATGGGCACATCATGACTATATATGGGCACATCATGACTATATATGGGCACATCATGACTATATATGGGCACATCATGACTATATATGGGCACATCATGACTATTTATGAGCACATCATGACTATATATGGGCACATCATGACTATATATGGGCACATCATGACTATATATGGGCATACAACAGTTTATTGTCAAAGAAAAATTGATATTCTGGACAGGGATTTACACTTAATCTAAATTTATAGAGAGCAATTATTTAAAAATATACAGTGTGGCCAAATCGCCAAAATTCAAATAAAACATTTAAATTTTTACTCATAAACAAGAATAATATACTAACTTCAAATTAGAAACATATTGAGAGAATTCAGTTTTTGTAGAATTACAGAAATATACTACAAAAATCCTTAAATTTGAGGGTTAGCAAAAGAATACAAATATGTAGTAATTATCACTTAATATTATGTATCTGTTAATTGACATTGTAGAAACACCTCAATTTTGTCCAAAATCCATATACAGCCAACCTTGTTACTACAAAACACGAGGGCCAATCCAGAGATGTCAGAAAGGAGGGGGGGGGGCCTGAGAGAAGGCCAATCGAGACACAACACACCAGGGGGTCTGTGGAAATTCCCCCAAAAAATTGTTTTTTTTCTAGAAGCTCGAAAATGACTTCGGAGGCAATCATGGGCAATCATTTTCCTTTTTTTCAACTTTACAAAAGTGGGGGGGGGGGGAGAACAGGGCTGGCTTGGCCTCAGCTTTATAGACACTATCAAAATTCATGTGACATATTTGTGTGTTGTACCCATATATGGCAATGATGATGTCATATAATTACACCCAAATATGGGTATATCACATTTATTTGTCACATAATTTCCACTTACCACTCGCTGAGCTCTATTCATTGCCTGCCATTTCATGCCTTCCTCTATGCTACTGCTAAGGGCGTTAGGATTCGTATTTTTTGTTAAGCTTAAGAGCACACGTTCTTGATGGGCCTCGTACTCATCTCGGCTTGGATAAATCTTTGAAATCAGATCATCAAAATTTGGATCCGGGCGAAGAGACCGCTTAGAGACCAATTTTTTTCTGCATGTTGGACACTCTTTGTTACTGGAAAAAAAATATCGATTTTAAACGGTTAGTAATAACAACAGCAGCATTACATAAAATATAAATACAAAAAGAGTGTACAATAAATAATCGCTTTAGCTAAAAACAATATATTTAAGTCAGGTCAAGGGCTTAGCCAGCAGCCGTCTCGCCGTCTTTTAGACAGCCAACAATTATTTAGGACGGCCACCTTCACCGTGACAGCTTGGCCTACTCATCTCAGCCTAGCCTAGTTGATTTGATAGATTCAAAGAATATAATGAATTTGCAAAAGGTAGACCAGGCCCATCTATTCTACAGTAGGCACATATTATCAATATTTGTCTGTCACATTCAAAAGAAAATGTTAATGACAATGACCAGAATAAGGCTTTACTCAACTGCTTCTGACATAATAAAAATGACAAAATAAATAAATAAAATATAGAACACAATACTTACCCACTCCGTAAAGCAGTTATAATGCAGTCTTGGCAGAATCGGTGAAGACACTCTTTTGTTGTCATTGTATTCTTGAGCATATCAAGACATATTGGACACATTAGCTCACTGTGTAAGCTGCGCGGTGACACTGCTATTTCGGTGTCATCGGTTATTGCTTCCTGAGGAGTTCGGTTCAACTCATACAAGCTAAGCTCTAGAACAATAATGAGAAAACGATATATTAATTTATATTATATGAACAATTCATACAACAAGATAAGATAAACTTTATTGGTCTATTCACATATGAAAATACATAAACAGAAATGTTCCTTGAATCTGGCATAAACAGTTAAAAAATACTGTCAAACATCAAATTACAAAAAGCAAAAAAATTGTTATGTAACTACTCATTACATAATTTAAATATAATACTGTATATTAAATATTAAATATTAATTAAAATTACAGTTATTATTATTTAAAATTTCGTTTACAACAAATTGAATTGAATTTTAATATTAAAAATACAGAAAATACAAAATTGCAGTTCAAAAATGTATCAAAATTATTAAAATTTAAAAAAAATACCAGTTGGCTGGCCAATTATTAGAACAATATTTTCAATTAAGTTGATTCTGCATTTATGTAAAGTTGTAAGGTCAGTAAGATCTAATAGAGTTGGTCAAGTTAGCATGATTTATGGTATAACCCCATTATATTTTTTTATTTTATGTAAGGTGAGACCTTTTTTTATACCTTGCTTAGCGAAACTGCCGAATGCAAATATTGAAGATTTCAAATAAAAAGAAAATTTTATTTTTTGCCAATTGCACACCTGCCAACACGAAAAAATTGAAATTTCAGAAAACAATATAAGTTTTATCTATTTTTATGCACTTCAAAGTTAAGATATGTATATTTCTTCCTAAATATATAAATTTGAAACACCTAACCTTCCCATTTTACATTCACCAATACAATTTTAATTTTTTTTTCCTTTTAAGTCTGGATGTTTTTGGCAAACACTATTTGCTAAATAAGAAAACAAAATTTTATTTCTATTTTTATTCTGCAATTCTTTGATGAATAAGTACGCGAAACAAGGAATAAAATTAGTCTCGCCTAAATACAGGAAAACAATTTTCAATGAAATTCAATTAAAAATAGAATGTGTAACTGAAAACCTCTTACCCCATGTCTTGTTCGGAGTGACTGCATTTCCCGATGCCTAATCAACAAAATTTAGAAAGAAACAAAAAAAAGATAGAGTTAGGCTACAATGTGGCATAAACCTGCTTAAGGGAACCCTAAAAAATTATGAATTGTTCATTACAAAGATCATACCTGAAAAGATATTTGAGTACAGTGAATGGAAGGGTTCAGTTTTCTGATTTTACACTTTTTACCACAAACATACTGCATAGCATATACTTAGGCTAGGCCTATTTAAGGGAAGTCGTTTACTTGCCTTTATGGGCCTTAAAGTTATTAAGGCCACGAGAATGAAAGTTGTAGGTTTGCGTCCGAAAAATTTTGAAAACACATGAGGCATTTTTTATTTTTCATTATTCATTATCTTTTTTATAAATGCTGTCCACAAGCTGCGGCATTGGTAATTTTACATTTATTCCCAAGAAACAATGCTTACAGTCATAAATGTACACTAAGCCTATAAAACAGATCCTTTTCTACATTTAAGACCTCTTTAAACATACGAGATTTCCTATTGGTCAGAAAGATCGATTTGACCCGTAAATGACCTCACTCAGCAGTGATCGGTGATCATGGTGCGATGTGGCCAGGCCTGCCTTCGCTAGGTGTTCGCAACGAGAGTGATGAACAGATCGTTTTTCTGTCTGTTTACGGCTTAGAAAGTCCGTTTTTTAAAACGAAGTATATTTTTTTTTCAAAATAATGAACTTTTCAAAATAATGAAAATGTTCATGCATGCGGGCGGTGGACGCAAACCTACAACTTTCATTCCCGTGGCCTAATATTAATTATAATATAATTTTTGATAGTTTCTAATAATAATAATAAAATAATAATATAGAAGTAGTAATAAACATTATTAATATTAATAAATTAAGGCCTAGGCCTAACAAAAAATTACAGTCTGTAGTAGGCCTATAATTTTGTTTTTGTTGCTTTGAGAGACATAAATTTTGAACATTCACTTTCGTAGTATATCAATTGAAATGTTATGGTCAATTTCCCAATCTTGCTAGACTAGGCCCTCTTCCTCCTAAACCTAGCCTAGGCCTCCGCGCCGCAGGCAGACTATGCTGTCTATCTAGGCCTAGCCCTATCATCAGATTGGGCTAGGCATGCTTAGCCTCTCGAACTCGATAGTCCAATTATTATCAGCTGGACATTTCAAAAAGCTTTTTGTCTGCACAGTTAGGTAGATCTTTGCTTACCTGTATTGCCGCCATCGAAAACTATCTGCTTCTATTAACAATAAAGCCAATAACAATAATTTGATACAAGGATAAAAACAAGAAATGCAAAAAGGTTAAAAAACTCGGCTACTTCTTATACCCTATGACCTCACTAAATAGCGCCACCATAAAATCTCACCAAACAGTAAACAAAAAGCACCTTACTGTACTCTTTGCAAAAACTTTTTCCCAAATAAAAATTAAAATAAAATATTTTCCTAGCCAATTTAAAGATGCACAAGCTAAAATGCTCAGGAAATAGATAAATATATAGGCCCTGTTTATAAATTCTATAGCGAACCGGGGTGAAACAAGGTTTTGTCAATTGCGCTTACTTCTTAAATAAAAATTAAAAAATTTGTAATTGTAGATCCATCAAACGTTCAAATTGAATATTTATTTCCATTATATCCAATTAAATTGTAAAGGGAATCTTAAAATAGAAATCTACAGACATAACGCTATCACAGGCCTACGTTCCAAATAATTTTTTTTATGATAGTGTGTGAGCATTAACCTGTAGGGAAATATATAGGCTAACTTAAAACTTGATTTGATAGCGAATCTGTTCGTTAGTAGTGAAATTAAATAAGCAAATAAAAATTAAACATCTAAATATGGCCTATGTCATTTTCGACACATCCATCCACCAATATGTTCCAAAAAATGTCGCGCGAACTTGTCTGTCGGCGAAACGTCCTATCGGCTGGCGTTCGGCCGAAATGTGGTGTATGTATGTCGAATGGCTTCGGCGGTCAGTAAGTAGTAAGTAAGTAAAGTAATTTATTTATTCGGAAGCTAATTTTTTAACAATGGCACACTTCAAAAAAATTGAAGGTGCATCCAAAAGAAAAAAATAGTACACAGTAAAAAGACTTACAAAAAATGCTTAACTAATTATGACCAAGCAAATTGCATGATTTTTTTTGATTTTTTTAAAATTTCCTTCACATCCAACAGCAAGTACACTTACCACAGGATAAAGAATTATGCTTTCTAATTCTATTTATGAGCTTAGAGAGTCACTAGAGTCGGTTTTGGTCGTGAGATGGGAATCGAACCCAGGACCCGGGATCAGAAGGCAAGTAACCACTGAGATATTCAACTCCACTCCACAGAATACACAAAAGGAACTTAAAATAATGCTCAACCAATAGAAGGTATAAAACGACCAACAAAGTGAATGCAAAATAACAAACAAAACAACTAATTTAATGCAGAATACATGCCTACTGTACAGAACACACAGACACAAAAAATACAGGTATGTTATGCAGAAAATAATAAATAAATAAATAAATAAATAAATAATAATAATAATAATAATAATAATAATAATAATAATAATAATGATAATAATAATAATAATAA